TATTTCTATGTTCTACAAATTCCATAAAACTAACTACAACTTCTGTTATGGTCTTATTGTCAACATTATATGCATGTATTAGTTATGAAATTAGTTACAGAAAAGATGTATACAGACTAGTACAACACACACTCTACTAATACAGCATGCATTGTTTTTACTCATCCTTTAACATGAACTATAATCCATGACTAACTGTTCTGTTATATGTTCTACAAATTCCATAAAACTAACTACAACTTCTGTTATGGTCTTATTGTCAACATTATATGCATGTATTAGTTATGAAATTAGTTACAGAAAAGATGTATACAGACTAGTACAACACACACTCTACTAATACAGCATGCATTGTTTTTACTCATCCTTTAACATGAACTATAATCCATGACTAACTGTTCTGTTATTTTCCTAATTGGCTTACAGCCTTAGAGAAATATTTGTAGCACTATTTTTTTTTTTTCTAATTCCCTTCAGCCATATCCTAACAGATTTGTTGTTTAACACAGAAGCTTGGTTATTTTAGATTATATTCTTCTATGTCAAGACCAAAAAACCCACAATATTTTTGCACTTTTTTTTTTAAACGTGAGAACACTTACCCTTGCTAATTCCAGGTAATGTTGCAAAGACTGGCTAACAACCCGGGTGTTTTCAAGAGTAATTGCAGGCCCTGAGAAGTACTTTTCAACTACTTTGTTCTGAAAGTAGAATGAATATTGGCAAATGTTTCAAACATATTGGGGAAGGGAAAAAAAACACAAAGCAAAACCAAAACAAACAAAAAACCCCCACCACACTACTATCAACATCCTTCTGTAACACTTACGTCATCTTCAGCAAAGACAGAGAGACTGAAGAAGGCTCCAAGATAGGAAAGTCTTTGCAGCTCTCTTCCTGCACCTGTGCTTAAAGATTTAGGCAACCACAAGGGCAAAGAGACAACCTAGAAAACAGGAAAAATAGCAAGTTAATCAAAGCTGCCATGTCAGCCATACTACTTTATCTGCATTGTCACCTTTCAGTGCTTGCCACATGCCCTTGATTCTTCAACATTCAGTCATGCTGACAACTAAATGGAAACATCTCAGTATCTCAGCAATCTAAGCAAGTCCTGTTTGTCCTAGTTTTTTTAAATTCCCAGGGAAAAGGACTCCCTTTACCAGTTTACTTTAAACTATTGTTTAGCATGAGATACTACAGTAGCCCCTGTTTAGAGTTCTGAAGAACATTATCAATGTGGATCGTACGATATAACAACAAAATAAGTTACATGGTTCTTTTAACTTGAAAAAAATCAGACTGGATACACTTACCAAACTGCACATAGGGTGTGTTTTCCCAAACTTGATTTCACAAAGTTCACATAGTGCCTATAAAGAAATCCCAAGCAAAATTACTTTTGTGTGTAATTCCTAAGTAACCTGTTTGCAAATAACAAGCTTATCATGGTAAACTGCTGAAAGAGCCAAACCTTCTTCCCTTAATCAGTGGGAAAACTTCCATCTTTTACAATGGTGAAGAGGTCTAAAAAGAGCCAGAGCACACCCTGCTCCCATTTTCGCTTTTACGTATGTTCCAAGTTGTCTCAAAAAAGCTAACGTGTCTCACAGGATAATAAATTATTGCACTTATTTCAAAAATTAGCTGTGCAAATTGTTTGTTTGTTCAGAACATAACAATGCCCTTGCTGGACTCCTGAACTGCCACATAAAAGTCAGTAACAATAATAAATAGAGCAATTGTTCTATACATACACCAAGGCCTTTGTCTTTTGAATCAGAGTGGAAAAATGTCAGATGAACCAGAAGCCAGAAACAAAGAATCCTATCTAAGATTTCTAACTCACTTTCAACTGCAGCACAGAAAAAAGAAAGCAGTTATAACAGATCATTCTGAAAACACAAAAATACTGCAGGCTTTCACATATCCCGCTTCTCCTGTATTATGCGTTCTCATTCTTCAATTATACTATAGCTAGTAACTACTATTCCACCCTTTTGGTGCACACTGTGCCCACTACAGATGATCAAAATGGAATATCATTTCAAGTAGCCCTTACTTGCAGCCAACAGCCAAATTTGCAACAGTTCGCAATTTAAATTGGGGGGAATAACAGAAGAGCAGGAAAACACAGAACCAGCAAAAATTGTTATTTTTGCAAAAGTACCAGAGTTGCTTAGTCAATTTGATTTGCAGCACCCCAGTCCAGCTAATTTCCTGACGTACAAATTAAACCTGAGATGTAACAGCCTTTTTTGGCATCATACACTGAAGATCCTAAAATCTGAAGGTGCTAGCTCACAATGCTCAATTTAGCCAAGAATTTAGCTCGCTCTTTTGTGGCCAAGCATGCTTTTCGAAAGACTTTTTTGTTTTGTCAATAAAAGCAGTAGGAGGGAAGCAGATCTACGGACTAAAGTATGCACTTAAAAAAAACCCTAAAAATAAAATCCCCAACTTTTCAGCCAGGGAATATTATGACATTTTCCTACAGTAAAGAGCCACCAATTCAAATAATTTTGGGTTTAATACAATAGATTTTAGTTTCCCACATACAAAAGTGAGTCCAACAAACATTGGTATGCATATTGGGCCTTATTTCCCAGACTTGAACTGGGAGGAACTTAGCAGGATTTTATAACCATCCACAGTATTATAACTAGTACGCATGATGAAATCCATACATTTGATTAATCTTATATAAAGCAATACATATAAACATTTGAATAGCCCACTAGACAAACTCTGTACATTAAGCTTAAAGATATTATTGGCCTCAGACTCTACTTGATTTTTAATAGTCTTTTACACATCTCACACCACATTAAGCTTCCAACATAGAGTTTAACAGTAATCCACTAACCAAAAACGTTGAAGTATATCACCTTGTACAGAATCTGCGTAAGTTATCAGTAATCATAAAGAAACTGTTTCTAGAAATGAAGAGTCCTTACCATAAGGGGGTATTTAAAATTGTCACTATCAAGGGAGCACTCTTTGGAAGCTACTGCCAGGCCTTGTAAGATGGGAATAAAGATCTGTAAAAACAGAAGTAGATTACTTTATTCAAGAATAGGAAGCAACCAAATGACACTATTGCTGTACACAGCATAAAAAGCTTGCTCATTCTTCAAATACTGCAAGTTACACAAAAGAAAAACTAAGATCTTTTCTTTAAATTTGTACCAGTTAAGCCCGAATGCTTTAAGAAAGTCTTGAAAGCTAAAAACCAACTTGCTTGATAGAGTGTAAGTGATGTATTGACTTGATGCCTGAGCATAACGACTCACCCATAAAAGCTACTTCCAAGCACTTGTATGACTTGTATTATTTTTCCTGATCACATTCTAACTTGTTTCCAAACATTTACTTTGTAAATCAAAATAACCCCAGAGACATGTACATCTAGATCTGGAACCAAAGCTAACAGGTTACAAGCTGAAGCTGACAAATAGTAATGTCAGAACATCGACAAAAATCAGGTGTTGTTCCATCAAGTTCTCCACATGTGGAAGCCACGTAGGGAAGCATGCACACATTTCATACAGGATCACTGTAGATACTGTATGCATGTGTGCAAGCATATATATCATATACACAAATGAGAGCAGAAGTTCTGTAGAGGTCTCCAACAACTTGATTGCCCAAATGGGTAATAATTTATTTGCCTATACACTTGGGGTAATAATATAGCTTTAATTTTGCATGTCATGTAAGCAAGTTGGTTTTGTGCTGGTAAGTTGTAACTGCGGTAAGAGTAAAGATAATAAGCAGCAGTCAAGGCTTGTTATGAAAGAGGAAGTGACATGACAGGAACTTACTAATCAAAAGTAATTATACCTAACTAGTAAGTCGCAATCGTACAGCTCGGACAACTATACCCTCACAAAATAAACTTAGAGTAATTTTGCAACAATAACAACAAGAGGTCCCACTGAATTTTAAATGTAAGTATATCGTGTTCCTTCTATGAAAAGACAAAAAAAAAAATTAAATCATATTACAGAAGAGGACTATAAAGAGATTGTTGTCTGCTTCAGCTAGAGGAATGGTTCTCTTTTCCAGGGTAGGTGACCTTTAACACTTTCTGTAACCACTTTTTGACAGTCTTAAATGTACTTTCAACTGCATGAACCTCTACTAAAAGGTGTCCAGAGAGATAAATTATTAAAAGGTACTTGCGCTACGCATAAAAATTAGCTAATGCCATTTTTTTCAAAATTGGAAGGATCAAATGCCATTCTAAAGGCCCCTTCTTTACAGCTAAGTCACATAATACTTCAGGAGTGCTAATTAAGAGACAATTACAACCTCACTGATCTGCTTTAACTGGGCTAGAAGTTGTTTGCTAGTTTTGTGTCTTAATTACTAGGCCTACCAGTTCCAATTTTTTATCATCTCGGTGAACTACTCTGACACACAGAATAAACCATCTAATGTTTCTCAGTCATCTCCTCCATAAAATATGAAGGCTTAATGGACTAGGATTTGTAAAATGCTCTTAGCACTTTAGATGCAAACTACTGAAGTTGCAAAGAAGGGTAAAGATTGCAAGATAGAAAAAACAGTAAAACAGTAAAGATTGCAAGACAGAAAAAACAGTAAAACTTTCTGAGTACGATTACAGAAGATTGGTGTCTTACACATATATTTTTAGAATATTTCGTACAGAAGTACAGAAGGATGAAAACCCAAGATCAATCCTGTAATATATGCCTGCATATTCTGAGTAGTTCACTTCAACGTTACATAAATGTTCCCTGCTTATTAAGAAATGCACTTTTAATAACTAGAACCAGCAAATAATGAAAGTCAGTCTCTTTCACAAAATGCTAAATGAGTTAAAAACGAACAAAACCAAACTCCAAGGGCTTAACAGGTTGGTAGCCCCTGAAGTAATAGGTATAGGACTGTGAGATGCAGAATAAACCTGTGGAAATCCATTCTCTTGGATATTGCAAATAGTAGAATAATATGATATAATTATTTATTTTTTACCTATGCCTTACCTGTTTGAACACCTCTTCATCCTGATAGGTTGTTCTCACCAATTCTTGGATGAAGCCAAATGGGAGATTCCTACACAGCATATATGGTACCAGCAAAGACTGCTGCTGCAATGACCTTTATTTGTATTAAAAAAAAAAAAAACAAACAAAACTACTGATTATTTGCAGTAGTATTTGTAGTAGTGTTTACAAAAATGTCAGAGTAATCACATCTAAGGATGTGCCAGAAAGCAGATTATCAACATCTAGACACACCTACTCATTTCAGAAGTAACTAACCTTGTCTTCTCAAGTTACTTGTGGAAAGGTTATTCTGAAACAGATGCTGCTGCCAACATCACACTTTAGTTTAATGAGGCTGGAAGAAAATAACAGCTTCTGTGTAGTAATTGGTTCTCCCTTCTACTCCTCTCTAATAAAGACCCTTTGTTAAGCTCAGCTAGTGAAGGAACAACATTTTTTGATGTTTGTTTTTCCAGATTAAGAAAAGAACATAACATTAGTCTTTTCTGAATTAATACAGTCATTATTTTAACTGCTCCCTAGGACTTTTGAAAAAGTTTTTTTTTTTCCTTATTACATACATAAAAATGCCAACACTGGTTCATGTAAAGACAAAACTAATCTCAAAGCACAGTGGATAATTGATGCACCTTTAAAGATTATAGAATTATTGTTTGGAAACACAAATACAAAATTATGCAGATTTTAGTAAAAGTCACATATTCTATTTTAAAAACCTTTTTACTGTTCCAGCTAAACAGGCTGCTAGTTAAACAACTGCTGTTGAAACACTTGAAATCTCAGAGTCTTCATTTAGTGTAGAATGTCTACACACAGATTTACATTACCAAATCTGTTGTGGTAAACTCTCTGAAGTAAACAAGTGCTATGCCACTTCAGCAGTTTTTGCTACACGTTTTGATAAGACTGTTTCTCAGATGCAGCTCTACTGGTTACTGACTTTCACAGAAGTTATGCCTCAACAACCCGCAAGTAAAACAGTTTATGCATGAGGTAAGGCAGAAAACAGCTCAGTTAACTCAGACCCCCATTTAAAGTGTTCAAATCAACCTGGATGATTCTACCCAAACACAATTAGAAAACACTTAAACTACCGTCCACCAATGCATCAGTGGGAGCAATACTCTCCAATGGTAAAGCAATAAACTATTCCTCTGGCACATAAATGTATCCTGCTCCAACAACTGATCTTAGTTTTCTTTCCCAATCCTCAGAAGAAAAAAAAATCCTGGAACAATTTAACTTTCATGACTAACATCAGCTGTATTTACCTTGGTTGTGTTAAGGATCCCTGTAGCACCAAAGCAGCATGTGAAATGCACTGTGATCGGATGTTGCTCAGTAACTGGCTAACTGTTGGCTGGCTACACATCTGATAAAAATAACTTTATTTTAATACAAACTAAAAGTATTCAGAGACAGAACAGATAAGAAATATAATAAATTTCTTTATTCATGCAGTATGAATATAATATGCAAACTTAGATTAGCACTACTCCAGCTAAAAACCTTTCAGATTATATATATAAAAAGTGGTGTTTCGGTTTTTTTTTTTGCCCAGAAGCAAAAGCTTAAAGCAGAATATAGAACACTGATAGGGAGCTGGTCTCACAAAAATATGGTTTATGTGGAATAAACTTGGATAAAATGCAGTAGATCAAAAGGGGAAGGACAGTTTCTAACACAGTGCTTATTTTAGAGATGTAAAACATATCCGTGATTCAAATATGATGAATTAGTAAGAGTCAAAGGGACTTTATAAATCCTATAAACCTATTTCTGCAACAAAGCCATCAAGAAAGAACTATCAATTTCCATCAACTTTCCCCACTAAACCCTAAGAGGAGTGTCTGTGACAGCACTGATACAACTTCACTCATCTGAAATATACCTTTGGTGCTTTTCTCTCCTCTATTCCAACTCTGTCAAAACACTCAATGAGGTAGTTCAGCATCTCTGTCTCCTTACAATTTTCAATGGTGAAGTGGTCACTGCAGGAATCGGAAACACTTGAGCTGCCAGAGCCTCCCATACTTTAAAACACACAAAAAGAAGAAACAAAGCATTAGGTACAGTTCTTCACGTGTGCACAATCAAATAATTCACGAACTCTTGAATTCCTCTGTCAATTTGCTGAAGACTCCATCCCATCACGCACATAGCTCAATAATTAAGATCATTTTTGTGATCTACGAAGAGCTCTCCTTTTAACAGCTTGTCCAACTCTGAAAGTTCAACTGTACTGTAAAATGACTGAAGAATCAATTATCTTATTAAATGAATAAGTATCTGAAAGACAGCAATAAGGTGCATGACTTTAATGGGAATCAATAAATCTTGTTCTCACGTGGCAACACTGAAAATGAACAGCCTTTAAGTTGTACCTGACATCAAAACTGTTCAGACGCTCAGGACATCACAATACTTCCATGCCATGATGCAACCTCTGCACAGTCTCTGTATACAGCATTCAAAATGGTGGAAATTTCACCAACTCTGTTAACACTACCCAACCCATGGAAGGCAAGATCCTCCCACTGCAGAGAAGAGACCTTAGCTGTCAGGGCTATAGACAATCACTTTATATATTCTAAGGAAGGACAATGAGCAAAACAGGAGGCAATACATCAAAGCAACTCTTCCTTTTAAAATTTCCACATTAAAGATAACTTAATTTCAACTCGGTTCATTTCAATTCCCTTATAGTAAAATATGCCATTTCATTAAGTAGCACAGCTTGGGGGGGGAAGACTGATATTGTAAACACGAAAACTAAATCCACAAAAACAAAACAATGCTTGAGACAAGACAGAAATTAAATACAAAAGTGAGAACAGATCCCACGATTCAATCTCAGACTTGTTATCTCAACAGAATTCTTTTCTACATAACAGCTTGGCAAAGCTAATTAAAAGCAAAATCCTCATTTTACAGAAGGGAATTAAGACAAGATATATTTACTTTATGTAAATGGAATGAAAAAAATAGCAATTACGTGGATAGTCTACTGCTATTTCTCAAAGAAGAGTCTGTGTACAGTCAAGGTGGACCTAAATGAAGACCAATTTATAAGTCCCAGATCTTAAACTGGAAAATAAGAGTATTTGTTTCCTTAAATGCAGCTTTTTAAAAACATGCTTAAAATTACAAACTCTATCAAAACTGGAATTTCCTTTAAACTGTAAAATAATTCACATTTTAATAATCAAACTGTACAAGTCTACTGTGCAAGCTTTACAGTCCAACCAATAAATCAGGGAAAGGTTATTACTGCTAAGCATCCGGTAGCTTAGCATGTTAAGAAACGTAACTTCTAATAGCAGCAATCTCTTTTTGCATCGAGAATTTGTTTTCAGTCATTCAATTAAAACTAATCCATGTAAAATGTAGCTCTACTGAAATAGTACTCTGTAACCATGAAATCATACACATTTTCTTTTTAGTCTCTCTTTTAAACCTCTTGACTTCTCACATTCAGCTTAGAAATCACCCTTTTAAAAACATCAATTTATATTAAAAACCCTACTACTTCTATAGTTAGTAATTCTGTTAATGATTTCACTGCAGCAGTAACTGAAATTATTCTAATGCATGGCTTATACATCCTTCATACACATATTGAATGCCTTGGTATTTTCAGAATGCAAGTTGTTGCATAATTGTACAGTCACTGTGTTTATAATTTAACTAGCATCTTACTGCTGTCTGCAGAATGCCAGGACTTAATATACAAACTAAGACTCTAGCCAGACCAAAGGCTTTGCAACTCAAACCAACATTTGGATTAAATTGCCAACAGGATAAGAATTAAACAAAACAGTGGGGAAAAAATAATCCTAAATTCCACGTACACAAAAACCCCTAGATCTGTGTTATCAAGTTCACTCTCCTGAAATTAGACTAGAATGGAAAAGAGGAGATGGTATTGGAAGGTCTTCTAGTTAACAGTTGACTTTAGCAGTAGTGTCCCAACATACCACAGGAACAAACATAGACAGAAAAGCTAGCGGGGGCGGGGGGGG